GGGAAGGGAAGAGAGAAAGAGAGGGAAAAAGGAGAGAGGGAGAGGGAGAAGGAGAGAGAGAGAGAGCGAGAGGAGAGAGAGAGAGAGAACAAAAGGGGGCCAAACATAATGAACCGATTCCCAAGATAATGGCATTAATCCATTTACTCTACTCTGCCCTCCTGGCCTGGTCAACTCTCATCAGGCCCCACCTCCCAACACTATTAAGTTGAGGAGGAAACTTCTAGCACAGGCTTTCGGGGGACACATTTAAGCCCAAAACTTATTATCCACAAGGCAGAGAATCAACATGAAAACATGTTCAGAACTATGTGCCCCGCAATGTAATATTTCAATATTTAGTATTCAAAAGAATGACTTGAGTTGGTTTTAATGGTTTGAACTTCAGATTCTTGTTCAGTAGGTCCAGGGTGGATCCTTATAATCCACATAGTAAACAAGCACTGCCAGAGATTCTAAAGCAGATGCACTTATTACCCTAAGAAACACTGAACATATGGAGCCTTTTGGGCTGTTAAGATGGTATTGTGAATAACTTGACTCGCTCCAATAACAGGAAGTCTTTATATAGAGCTTACTTTGTGCCAGGATTTATGATAAAATATTAATTCATTTAAATTTCACAACACCCCCAAGATGCATGTACTATCATTATTCTTAATTTACATTTTAAGAAGCAGGGCCCACAAAGTGACTTTCCTGAGAACAGGAGGCTAACCAGTGGCAGAGCTGAGACGTGCACACAGATGGAGCTGGCTCCAGAACCCCAGTCTTAATGGCCGCCCTCTGCTAACCTGCCTTCTGGCCGGTGACCTCCATCATCTATAAAAATCATAAAGAAACGAAAACTTGGTTTAATCCCATAAACCATGGTTGCCACCCAGCCTACTGTGTGACTTTCAACAAATTGTTTTAACTACTTTGCCCTTTCTCAGCAACAAAAGGAAGTAGTTAGATTTCACATATAAAGATTTTGTGAACTAAGAATCACGTAAAGAAAAACCAGCTGGTCATCGGTGGCAAGAAGGGAACCAGTTTAATGAGAGCCGGTTGGATGCCAGATGTTTTGAAATTGCATCAGTTAAGCCTTTGGGTCCTTTGCTTCAAAGTGACTGGGTCAAATCTCAAATTAAGCCAAATCAAAACTAGAAGAAGAATTTACCAGTTTACCATTTGTCTGAGACCAGATTTGAAGATAAAGTCTTAATTTTCCCGATCTCTGATCCTCTCCAATTACTCCAATTCCCCCCTCCTCTCTTATTGCCCTTGTGATTTTCTTTGCTCACCTTATCTATGCTGTCACAAAAGTGACTCACTGGAAGCTCTAGTCTTTCATCAATGATGGTGTGACAATACATTCAAGTGCCCAGAAATCAATAATAAAACGCTTCCTTCTCCATCATTTATATCAGTCTCCAACCAAGACTGGGGCTCTATTTGGGTCACCGGCCCACCTCAAGCCAGTCTTTGTGACTAGATGATGAGGCGTTGTGATTGGCCAAGAAGGATGGAACTGCTAATTGACAGCCCTCTGAGTAAGGCAGGGGAATGAGGGTGGGTGTGTCTTAAGAGCTTTAAAAGTTATATGAGAATAATGATTACGATCGATGTGAACTATTCTAGGTGTATGCACTTCATTGCCTGTCTTCATATTTTAATCGAAATTTTATTGAGATAATTGTAGATTTACCTAAAATTGTAAGGAATATGAGAGATCTTGTGCACCCTTTACCTAATGTATCTCAAAGTTAAGATTGCACAAAACTGTAGTATGCAGCATAATGACATTGGTCCAGTTTACTCATCACATTTCCCATCTTTTACTTCTGTTTGTGCGTATGTGTCTGTGTGGGTAAAGTGTGTTTGTGTGTGCCTTCTTACAATTTTATATCTTATGTTAAATTAAAGTGTGTGGCCTTCAAATAATTAAAATTGTGCCAAACTCGAGACACTGTTACAGTAAGTGCCTCTCAAAATGGCCAATATTTCTATGAATATTGCCTTTTAAAAAACCAGGCCTGCACTACAATCCTTGCAATCTATATTCCCTCTCTTTGCAGAAATAAACTCGGTTTTTATAGGGGTCTGGACAAAGATCTACCCATGACAGAATGTGAGGCAGTGATTTAGGTCTTAATAAATGTTAGATGTGGATATGAGCCATAGTTTGTGATCTCAAATACTCAAGCTGAAAACTAACTTTTGGATGGAGATAGAACCCAGTCAAAGGAGAATAGAACTAAGAAGTTGGACGGATGAATTATGCCTGACTTGGGGGATAAAAAAGGCCTTAAAAAATGAGAAAAGAAGGAAAAGTGAAAAAAAAAAGCCTTTGTAAATAATGAGGGGAAGAGGAGTTGAAGGGGGAGGAGGGGAATGGGAAAAAAAGAATCAAGGTATATCATGTACAGGTGCAAATTCCCCATCCCTTATGATGAGTGTGACTGTATACATCTAAAATGTACTGATGAACTTAATTAGTTACAAAAGAGACTTGGGCAGGGAAAAAGAATCCGTTGAAAAATGCAATAGTAAGGAAAATAAAGGCACACATATATACAAAGTCCATGTTTGGTTTGGTGAGAATCACCAGAGGATGGGAAGGCTGGCAGAAACTGGGCACATGGAAAGATAAAACCAGAAAAACTTGGACTTCCTCCACACCTGAACAATTGTGCAAATGTCCTGAGGGTTTTTGGCCAAGTGAATACCTGCAAAGTCCTCCCTATCTATGTAGAGGTGTCTGTGGTTTCTTGAAGTACAGTGCTGCTTCTTTTAAAGTGAGATACAATGAACACACAATAAACTGCTCGTATTTAAAATATACAGTTTGATAAGTTTAGACCTATGTTAATACTCACAACACCATCACCACAACCAAGGCAGCGTACAGGTCCATCCTCCACAGAAGTTTCCTTGTTTCTCTTTTGAATCCTTTTCTCTTTTTCCTCCCCACACCCTGTATTAGTAGTCAGCTTGGGCTGCTGTTGTGTTTTAGACCAAGGCCTCATGCACACGGAGGCAGGGCTTTTGGAAGGCGATTATGTCATGGGGGCATTGTAGTTGATTTGCTCTTAGGAGGTGGAGCCTGGCTAGAAGTAGGTCAATCCAGGTTGTGACCTGGAAGGATGACTCCCTCTCTTCCACTCTTCCCTTCTCTCTCTGCTTCCTGGCTGCTGTGATTTGAGCAGCCTCTCCTTTGCCAGACCCTTGCACCGTGCTGTTGGCCATCTATGGGCTGAATCCACTAAAAATCATGGGCCAAAATAAACCTCTCCTCCTTTAAGTTGTGGGTATTGGGTATTTTGCCCCAGCAACAAGAGAGACTGCCATAACAAAAGGCCATATACTGGATGGCTTAATAAATAGAAGTTTATGTCTCACAGTTTTGGAGGCTGGAAGTCTGATATCAGGATGCCAGCATGTCAGGTTTTTGTGAAGGTCTATTCCTTGCTTGTTGATGACTGCCTTCTTACTGTGTTCTCACATGGTAGAGAGAGACAATGAGTAATCTGTCCTGTGTCTCAGAAAGGCTCTGATCCTGTCACAAAGGCTTCACCGTTATGATTTAACCTCATCCCGAAGGCATCGTCCCCAAATATCCTCAACTGGGAATTAGGTCTTTAGCATATGAATTTTGGGAGACGCGGTTCAGTGCACAGCTCTCCAACTTTGCAGGTAATCACTGATCTGTTTCTTTCACTAAACATTTGGATTTTCTAGAATCCTTCATAAATGCAATCAGAATAAAGAATAGGTATGCTTTTTTGTGTAGTTCTTTCATTTGCCATTGCAATTTTGAGCCATCCATGTTGTTAGATAGCTCATGTTCATTCCTTTTCATGGCAGAGTGGTGTTCCATCCTATGCTTGTAGCACAGTTCACCCATTCACCCAGTGAATGCTTCTTTGACCAGGGAAATCTTTAGTAAGACAAGGATCCCTGATGTCCAGGTCCAGTCCTCCTGGATGCCCTATGAGGTCCTCAGTGCTGTCAGCCCTCGCCGTTTTTGTTCTTTCAAAATGTCTTTGTCTTCCCAACTGGAATGTATATAGATCCATTTTCCAGTGCTGCTATGATAAACTGATAATGTGATAAATGTGGTTTAAAACAGTGGAAATTTGTTCTTTCATGGTTCTGGAGGTTAGAGATCTAAATCAAGATGTTAGCAGGACTGTGCTCTTTCAAGGTCTCTAGGAGAAGATCTGTCCTTATTTATTCCATCTTTGTGAGGCTTCAGCTGTGGTACCAAAAATCCAATTTTTGCCTCTTATTCACATAGCTTTCTAACCCTGTGTCTCTGGGTGTCTTCTCTTTCGATGTTTCTTCTAGTCATCATTAGAGTTAGGGTCCGTCGTAGTCCAGAATGATCTGGCCTAGCTATTACATCTTAATTGCATCTTCCTGGACTTTATTACAAACAGACCAGTCCCATTTTCTGGATTCTTTTGGTTCCAACTTGTATAGCTCCTTCTTTCTAGTGGGTCCAGTAACAATTTCAATAGCTCCTAAGCTAAATGTGATTTAGGTTGGGATAAAGAATATCTGTCCCAGCCCAGGCCAAGTTCTTTTTCATAGCTTCTTAGAGATATCCCCTACTTCCCCAGGGTGTATTCCTCACTGTAACGGGCACTAAACCCTATTCAAACGTGTGCTATAGGGGATTGAAGAGGGAATTGCTCCAAAAATATATCACCTGGAGTTTCAGAATGAAGGTGAATGGGTGCTGTTTATTCCACCACAGTCACATCTCACTTAAGAGTTGGGCAAGATCTTGTTTAGTCGTTGCACTAGCTGTGATGGAGGAGCCATAAGTGGTGGCTGCAAGGGATACACAGCAGGAGTGATGATGGGTATAAAGTGATGATGCCCTGCTTTTGTCTGCTTCCATCACCACTTACAGCAGTTACTAGCACACAGTTTGGTGGAGGTTAAATACTTATGGAATAAATGAAAACATCAGACTTGATTATTTTTTCTTCCATTTTTTTTCCCCACAGGAGGAGTCCCATTACCAAAGATGGCAGCTTACAACTCAACCAAGGCAGCTCTGACTATGTTCTCATCAATTATGAGGCAGGAACTTTCTGCATGGGGAGTAAAAGTCTCTGTGGTCCAACCTGGAGGTTTCCAAACAAGTAGGTATCTGAGCCTAATGTCCACTGTGCTCATCCTGGAAAAATCCTGAAGGTCCCCTTGGTCTGAGACAGCACAGAATGAGCCCCTCCGGGTTTTCAGAGATGGACAGCCAGTGATCAGTTAAAGAAGAGAAAACAGATTCTGTTCAGTCAGTATTTAGAGTTGCGCTCCATTCCAATGTGTGTAAAGGTGATTCAGGCTTTTTTAAAGGAAGAAGGGCAGAGTGAACAGCAGGGCCGAGTGGAGTCAGACACAAGAGAAAGTATGTAGGCTTGATCAGTGTGAATGTGAAGCCAGCATTCCAATCTACTGTACCTGCTAGGAACAGAGGCCTCTCCCTTCTGGCCACTCCATCTCAAAGGAGTGGCACTCAGTGCTTGAGGGAGATGCTTCTGATTTGCAAGATCTATCATCATCTGTCTATCTATCTATCTAATCTATTGAAAGAACTTTTGACTAAATGGTACCAGAAAGAAAGGCCAGAAGCCAATTAAGAGGGTGCGTGGGGTAGAACAAATAGCAGGTTCCCATGACCCCTGTAAGCCTTCCCAGCATGTATTTCATGCAGGGCCGATGTTATTTAGGGACAGGGCCTGACGCTGCCAGAAGCCGAAGTAGAATGTGGGCACCCCTAGCGCAGAGCTAGGCAGGAGTTATCACATGCCCTGTGTTCTGTAGTCCTCAGTGTCTATCAAAGAGAGGTTGGGATGGCGGACTTCATCTAGGAATTGAGGGGCAAGTATGCTTGCTCCTCTGCTGCCTTCCCTGGAGGGGTTGAGTGGGCTCAAAAGTTATAGCAAGCAGAGGCCATGATGGATAGAAACCCAGCAGGATATTTGTAGGACTCACACTCCCTTCCTTGGTGGTTGAGTTTTATTTGACCTATAGGAACATAGCACAAAAATGATCCCAGTTCACATAATTTAAAAAATATATAAATAGAAAATATAAAAATAATATATAATATATGATAATAT